AAAAAATGGATCAACGATAGCAGTGAGTACTTCTTAAGATTCCCCACAATTGTTTGGTATTCAGTTACCAAAACTGCTGGCTGTCAGGCACCTGAGGTTCTTAAAAGTGTGAGTTGATCTGCCTTACAACAAATCCATGTTATATCTGACCACTCATGCCTCTCTTCCCTTTACTCTGCACAGGGAACAAGCGTCCTTTCTCCTTTTCTCCATATTGGATCAGTGATCACGTTAGCTGCAATGATCTACAAGAAATCGGCAGTCCAGCTTTTTGAAAAGCACCCCTGTCTTTATATACTGACGTTTGGTTTTGTGTCTGCTAAAATCACTAATAAGCTTGTGGTAAGCTCTGAAGTTTTTATTTGTTTTGTGTTTAACATTTATCTTATTTTGGTTCAGTGGCCCTAGTTTTCACCCCACAGCTTCCGAGCAGCTCTAGTTTGCTCTCCTCCAATCAAGATCCCTGGACATCAACATGGAAACTGTTCTCACTCTTCAGTGAAGCAACCACTGGAGGCTACCGGAAGCTTCTTGGACCACCACAGCCCTTCTTTCTGCTACAGTTTAATTTGGTGCTTTAGTTTATCGTCCTTCAGTCTCCATCGGTACACTCAAATTAGGGCTGTTAGTGAAAAGCATCTTTCGGGAGGGCTTAGTTGACATGGCCTGTCCCTTTGGTGTGTAGCTCTCTCACACATAATTCTTGCCATTTTTTTAGTTTTGAAAGTTCAACTTTTTATTCAGTATCGCTAAAAAATTCTTGAAACTTGCGAGCACAACTTGAAACTTGAGCACAAAACTGATTTACCATGTGGCTCACGGTTGCTCTAGTAATACAGTGCCTGCATCACGGATTCTCTTTTGTTTTCAGGTGGCACACATGACTAAAAGTGAAATGCATTTGCATGACACAGCATTCATAGGCCCAGCACTTTTGTTTCTGGACCAGTATTTTAACAGCTTTATTGATGAATATATTGTACTTTGGATTGCCCTGGTAAGTATTTTTCTGTGTCCTGTTTCATGATTTGGAAGCCACTAGTTTTCGTGTTTCTGTGGGTCAGTCCTGAAAGATAGATACTATAATTGTAATGATCTGGAGTGTCAGAAGACCATATTTATAGGACTTTGTAAGAGTTCCTGTGGCTTCATCTTTGAGCCATTTTTTGCATTATCCTTATTAGTCCTACATCAGGGCTCAAAAATTCCAGATTCCTGACTGTAAAGCAGGAACTGATATATTATATCCTGTGGGCCAATGGCCTGTTTTTATAAATAAAGTTTTATTGGAACACAGCCGTGGCCATTCACGTAAGTATTGTCTGTGTCTGCTTTCATGCTGTAGTGGCAGAAGTTGAGCAGCTGAGATGAAGATGGTAGGGTCCACAAAGCCTAAAATATTTACTGTCTCTCTGAGAAAGAGTTTGTTGATCCTTAGCATACAGGAAAAGTCTGTGAGGAAATGGAGGTATCAAATTGTATGGAATTGAAGACGTGTCTGAAAAGAAGGGAAGAAGGAAGCCACTCCTCCTTATTTTCAGGAAGCTTAGGGGTCACCTAAGCAGATCCTAAGAACCTGACACTCTCTTTTCCTTCCAGGTCTTCTCTTTCTTTGATTTGATCCGCTACTGTGTCAGTGTTTGCAATCAGATTGCGTCCCACCTGCACATACATGTCTTCAGAATCAAGGTCTCTACAGCTCATTCTAATCATCATTAATGACACACTTGGTGTTCTATAGGGAACTCGTGTGTTTTCTGCAGGAAAGAATCCGAACATATTAAGGAGAATGGGGTGGATAAGAACAAATATAATTTATAATAATCAATGTTGTATAACTTTTCTTTGTTATTAGTAACACTCCTTAACTATCCTGTGTGAGAATGGGAATTTCAAGTCCCATCCTGTAATCGTACATGTTGTCATACAGGGTTTGGCCCAAGGAATCATGCAGGAAAAATTGCCATGTGTTTGTAATTATCCTGGATTCAGAATAAAATTGTCCTGGGGAGCAGATTCCCAGTGGTGGAGATTTCTCATGTAGAATATTTGCAGGCCAAAAGATGGTTGCTTTATAATTTTAACAAATCATCATCTTTTAGTGACATCCTTGTTTAGTCTCTTCTCAAGCTTTCTTTCCTAAGGAGCTCAGCTTGTGGCACAGATATATCCCACTGGCTTGTGCGATGGAATTAGTGATAAAGACCTTGAATTTGAATTGAAAGGTTTCCTATCTTTACATTGCTGAGGAGGTAATTTTTTTATTGCTCAAGAAATGGTATATCTCATGGGCTTGGGAAATCCTGTTAGCATGCAGAATAATGTGGTAACTTTGTTGATCCATTTTATTTTTTTAAATAAATATATGACCTGAAAGCCAGCCTTTCTCTCAGTTTTCTTCAGTGGAAAGATAAACTAAGTTTTAATGTCATTTTTTAAAAATTTAAGCAAAATTTCTCTTCTTTAATAAATAAGGAAATTTGGTCAGCTGCTTTGTCATTATGTGTTCTGCGATCTTTCTGTTCTGTTTAACTTGAGACATAGAACTGTCTTCATGTTCCCTCATTTTTTGTTGTTGTACTTGTCACCCTTCAGATTATAAATCTTTTAGGAATCTCAAACCCTTCCCCAGAATTTTCAGTGAGAGACGCTGCGGCCTTCCCGGGCAGTTATTGAAAAATGGTACTCCTGTTCTGGCTCCTTGGTATGCTTCAGTTTGAGATGGGAGACAGCTGCCTTCAGTGACTATAAGCCAGACCTGTTACCATGTATGTACATAGTCCAGTTGCTTGAATGGAGGGGAACAGCAGAAAAGAAACTAGTGGTATCTTCTTATTGATGTGTATTGATTCTTATTCATTTGTATCTGTACCACCCTGTTGCTGTAATCATGGGTAAACAATGGCTGCTCTGCCTCAGCAGGGCGTCGCAACTCTGCTTTCTTGCACTTTTGGTGCTTCCATTAATCCCATGTAATCTTGAGTAGCAGTGACAGTGAAACCTTCAAGTTCTTTGCTAGACTGTAGCAGTAGAGAGAAATCTCTCATTATTTTTGCTTGCTAGCAACTTCTCCAGCATCTGGGGTAGTTTTGAAAGTTAGGGCAAAGCAGGAAAAAGAAGGAAGGATAATTCTACTTATTTGGCACAGTTACACCTACCACCTGCCTTGAGTAGTACAGTAGACACAGCAGATGTTAATTACCTACAGTGGAAATTGAGGTCTGCAGAGAGGCTAAGTGACGTACCAGTGTCATATAGTGGTGACTTTTTCCAAATAGGGAGTAGACTCCATATCTTCTGAATCCTGGGCCTGTGTTCTCTCCTCACACCCTAGTAGGTTTTGATGGGCTAAAGCTGCAAACCCAGCTGCTCAAATCTTTTTCAGCATAAAGGGAATCTGAAAAATGCTCAGATATTTCATGTTTGCTTCCTTAGCCCCCAGGTACATCATCAGACGAGGGGTACATTTATAGTCAACCTCAGCTGGCCCCGCCTCTTCTTGTGATCCTATACCTAGGTATCAGAGTCACCTGAAGGAGCTTTAGAAATTACAGGTTTCCAGGTCTATCTCGAGAGATGATTTAGTAGATTTGGGATGAGGCCTCAGAAAGTAATTTCAGAAGCTTCCCAGGATTCCAGTCTGTGTTCTAAAACCTTTTGAGGTACAACTGGGTTTAGGAACCACTCCTGTAAACTACCTAAAAAGATGCACTGACTCTTAGAACCTGTGAAGAGTAGCAGCATCGCTACAGGTGGTGGGTGGACAGTGGGACATCTGCCAACTGCAGCGTGTGTCTGTGCTCCTCACAGGAAATTACATTGGCTTTAACTTCAGTTTGGTCACCCCAGCCCCCTGCCCCACCCTCCAAAAACATTTGTGTTCTTTGTGTAGAATTCAGGGGCCTCTGAGGGTCGCACTCATGTACACACATTCAAAAGATGAGAGTTTTGAAAGAAGAGGGTTCTAAAAGTTTCCCATCCCTTTCAGTGTTGAAACAGAAGCCATCATTAGTAGTATAGAGAGAAGGTGGACTAGGTGACCACTAAACTCCTTTGAACACTTAAGATATTATATTCTTTTCTGAAAGGGGAAAATGGAAATGCAGCAATCTCTCCACCTTAGCTATAGAGTTGAACTGGGACGCCTGGGTAGCTCAATCAGTTAAGCGTCCGACTCTTGATTTCGGCTCAGGTCATGATCTCATGGTTCATGAGTTTGAGCCCTGCATCATGCTATGCACCAACAGTATGGAGCCTGCTTGGGATTCTCTCTCTCTCCGTCTCTTTCTGCCCTCCCCTGCTGTCTCTCTCTCAAAAAGTAAATAAACTAAGAAAAATTTAGGGGTGCCTGGGTGGCACAGTCGTTTGAGCATCTGTCTTTGGCTCAGGTCATGATCTCACAGTTCATGGGTTTGAGCCCCACTTTGGGTTCTGTGCTGACAGTTCAGAGCCTGGAACCTGCTTCAGATTCTGTGTCTCCTTCTCTCTCTGCCCCTCCCCAGCTCACACTCTCTCTGTCTCTCAAAAATAAATGCTAAAAAAAAATTTTTTTTTTTTTAATTTTAAAAAGAGTTGAACTGGGTTTCTCAAAATAACCAGGTAGGAAGTTGGATGTCTACAACTGAAGGTTCCAAACTGGAAGTGATGGGCAGACAGACCTGTCTATGGAAGCAATGTAGGGCTTTTCACCAGCTTCTGGGAACTGAAATTTTCTTCCCTCAAGGTGCCTAGAATGCAAATACTTCCGTGGCTTCTGGAAGGCATACCTGACTAGACCCAAGAACTGCCGCCCTGTCCCAGTGCTGTTGCCTCTTCTACCAGTATCCCCATCCTTCCTGTTAGAAACGGAGCAGCTGACCCTCTAGTTCCCCTGCTCCAAACACAGCTCCAAGGTTCTGGGCCACATTGGCCAGGTCTCCCTCTCCCCTTGCAATTTATTCTCCGATCTTTTGCCTTGTGCTCCCAGTTCTCCCCCCAGACTGGAAGCCAAAGATAGCACATAAACAGCAAGATTTTCATCTTTATTCTTATCTTCATATGTCCACAGACCTCTTTTTTATGTGTAGGGATTGAGCCTTTGGGCCACAGGTACTTTCTCTGTTGAGGATTTTGTAATAATGGTTCTTGGAAGAGGGCATTCACAGCAACTTCTAAGGCTCCACGACACCTGTGTTACTATCTGCTGTTCTGTGTCACCTGCACAGAAAATGTAGCTTTGAGCCCCGGTCCGTGAGCACGGAGGTCAGAGCCCTCCACGGTCCTGAGAAAGCTGATTCCAGGGATCCCAAACTCAAGACACCAGCTTGCAGACAGACGTGGTTACCGGGACTCGGAAGTAAGGCCGTGGACTCAGGAGCTTTGCCGATCCCACCGTGCTGGCAGGGGCCAAAGTCCAAAACTGACCTGTAGGTCCAGTCCCCCCTGTTGACCACAGCTCTTATTTCACAGTCTTTTCCCTTGATTTCTTTTGTTTCTTATGTTCCTCGTATTCAAGTATCTTCTGTTGGAAGTAGCCTGTGGGTTCAGATACAGGTGTTAGAGGCATATAATCTGGCCGGGTGGACCACGACGAGCTCCGGAGTGTGGATCAGATGTACCCTCTCTGTCTCCTCCCCCACCACACCCACATTCCTGCCAGGATTCCCATGTTCTCACAGGCCTCTGGAGATCTGGGTGATCAATTTGGCCCCAAACTGGAGCTACAAATAGAATAATTAGTAGATATTAGCTCCAGGTTAAAACAAAGAGCCACTTCTACAAAATGGCGGCCCAGAGGCATTTTCTGAGGCTTCAGGTTATTTTGTTCCAACTCCACTGACAACAAGACTACACCTTATTTGTGCTATTCACCCTAGGGCCACACCTGACTTGGAGGCAGTGACCCCCTCTGGGCTTGGAATGATAAGGGCTGTCACCATATACCTGCAGGAGGGTTCTTGCTCTTCTCAGCTTCCTGGATGAAAAGGGAGAAGAGCTGTGTCTTCACAAACTTCTTCACAAATCGGCGGTTGGTCTTGGAGGTCAGAGCCTTACAGAAGGCCCTTTCTTGGAAGTGGCCTTGCCCATTTGCCTCCCGCTTGATGTAGGAAGCATAGTGGCCCACAGTCTTGACAAAGAACTGCACAAATGGGCCCGAAACATGCTCGTTGAGCTGTTCTGAAGCTGCTGGAGATATATAAGAGGCCATCTCAGAAGAACCACCCACTCTTGCCTCCAGGTGGCTTTCACTGTGGGGAAGTGGCCAGGGGAGGTCTCATCACTACTGATTAAAATAGGAGATTAGGTACGGGTTCTCCACCACCGTTGAGGAAGAATAACATCTTACACTCAGACTTGCCCTAGAATCGAGGCACCTGGAACTGGCCCAGGACTGCAGAGTGAGTCCATTTTAGTCTGGGCAGGGATGGTTGGGAATCCTGCCCTCAAGCTCTGTGGAGAAACCCAAATAAGGAGGACCCAGGACTTACTCTGGGATTCACTGGTCTCCTGACCAAGAGAGCCTAAGATGTCATCCTGAAGCTTGGGTGGTAGGATATCTTTTTCATCACCAACCTAGAAGAGAATAGAGCTCAGATGTCAAGCTTGTCAGGGAGGCAGTCTTCATAGGAAGTATATTGACAGATGGCGTGAGGAGGGTGTGAATTCTGCACCCCAACTCTACCCTCAGATGATTGGCCATGTAGAAGAGAAACAATAGAAATTGCCTCTTGGTCTTCCGTCTGACTGTAAACATTAGCAAGTGTCTATATCTCTGTGGTACTGGATTTACATCCCTGCTCTAGAAACACCAACACTGGTTGCCTCATAGGGAAGCCATCTGCATGTTTGCCATGGGCTCCTTGAGGATGGTCTTAGCATGGGTTCTTCCCCCAACAAGAGCACTTAAGTATTGCAGAAGGAGGTGGAACACGGGAGAGACGGGTCGGATAGAGTAGGTGGTGGGCCTGCAGGAGGTCAGAGCCCAGACACTTACTGACATTAAGAAGGTTCCTTCACAAAGATTCACCAATAGGACCTGAAATAAACAGAACAAATGGTTTTCCCTTTTCCCATCAGAGACCACCGTGACAATTACCATCTCCATTTGTGCCTGTGGCTGTACCTGTCAGCCCAAGTTGCAACAAGATCGGCCACTGCAATTCTCCTTTCCTGCCTGACACCCTCCTTTCTCACTCTTCCCCTCCTTGGAAGCCCCAGTTGCCTTCCTGGGGAAAAGGCACGAGGGTGTGGGAAGGGACTGGAGAGGAGCGCTAAGGTAGGAGGGAATACAACATGGGGAAGTCACAGCCAATCACTCTCTTAATAAAACACGGATTGCAGTAATGGCTTGTAGATACAGAACATGTAGCACACAGCACACACAATCGGGCTTTGCACATCTTCTCTCAGTTAATTCTCCCCAGGGTCCTGTACAGGCAGGCACTATCCCCAGTGTGCAGATGAAGAAACAAACAAGAAAGTTGTCCGAGGTCAAACAACTAGTAGAACCGATTTCCAAGCCTAGATGGATCCTAGGTTCTGCATCCCTCTCCCCACTACACTCCTTCAACTCTGCCCTCTGGTCAGATTTAGGACAGCAGTGGGCGCTTTTGAGGCTTGCAACAACTTTCTGTACACTCGCCTGGAGCCCCTACTTTAAAAACTCTCTGGGAGCTCTGGACCTTCCCATGGAAATGGGAAGAGAAGGAAACGAGTCCAGGGCAACAGGAACAGGGAAGGAAAGGTGGTGAGGGGACCGTGTGTCTGTCTGCAGGCTGCAAGAAAGACATGCACAGGGCTGACACTTGAGTTCTAGTACCGCTCCCTCACTGTCAGAGGGGCCCTCAGTCCAGACCAGAGATTACAAATCGGCATCCTGCTGGTTGGATTCCAACCTGCTGATCTCTTCCCTGATCCTCAGAGTATGTCTAAACAATTGAGTTGGTTTCCAATATTTAAAATGGGAAAATTCACAGAAAGTTTGGTTTTAGGGCTTCTGAAAAGTCAGGAACTCTAACACTGGTTGGTCCACATTTCTAAAGGACCATGTTCAGATGGAACTGGGTGCAGCTGTCCCTTTAGGCAGGGCATGTGCTCAACAGTTTGCCATGATCCTGAAGCCTGGGTTGGTCATTTAACCCCCCCAACCCCTTTGCAGTTTGGACTCTTGGTCTTGCCAATATGGTAATGATCCTTTTTTTTAAAATTCTTTTTTATAGTTTGTTTATTTTTGAGACAGAGAGAGACAGAGCATGACTGGGGGAGGGTCAGAGAGAGAGGGAGACACAGAATCCGAAACAGGCTCCAGGCTCTGAGCTGTCAGCACACAGCCTGATGCCGGTCTCGAACCCACGAACTGTGAGATCTGACCTGAGCCGAAGTCGGACGCTTAACCAACTGAGCTACCCAGGCGCCCTGGTGAATGATCCTTCTATGCTCCGTTCTTCCAAATAAAAGGACAGAGCGGGTACTGTAAATACCCATCATCAGGGGAGAAAATGTTGACCTAGTCCAGGCCTGAAATCACATGACCACATAGGTTCACGTGCCTTCATTCAGGGAAAGTGGTTCATTTCAGGGAGCTAAGAGTATGCATGAAGAAATTTTGTGAAGTTTTCCCCAAACTCTTTCTAGTATTTGCTATATTATGGTTGAGTAATTCCTTCCAGAGAACCCATGTGGGTGGTCAGAGAATCCCCCCACAGCCACAATGGCCCTGGCCTTCCCCCTTCCTGCCCATTTCACAGAGGAGCAGCCAAGGACTAAAACAGGCCAAGGCTCTCGCACAGCAGGCCTTGGGGTGTCTTTCTGCCTGGCTGTCAGGGGAGGAGCTGGACCTGCAGTGTCAGCAAGTTTCATAACTCCTAGGGTTGGGACATTTTAAGTCATTGCTAAACGTGGGGCTAATACTCTGACCCAGTTAGTCACATGGTAAACCCTCCTTCAAAAGGCCTGTCTACTCAGCACTTAGAAGGAGGGCTGGGAAAGCCAGGGAAGTTAGGAAGGGAAGCAGCCGACTTCTTTACTTCCCAGCAACACTTTGTATGAGAAGGGCTCGGTTCTACCTGTGCTAGTTTCCATCAACTGAGTTCTCTGGACCTCTATTATTTCTTATGCAAATGGGAGAATTCTTCCCTCTTGGGCTGGTTCCTGCCTCTTTAGTAGCTTCCTACTAGATCTCACCTCTTCCCTAGGTCAGCCCTTTACACAGAAGTCAATGATTAGCCAGTGTAGACATTCCTAAGTAACTCTCGTAGCTGATATTATAGTAATGTGCGATCTTGGGAACATGCAGAGCGCATGTTTTGCGTTGGTCTTCCAACTCTGGAGATAGCTTCATGCTACCAATGCCTGTTTCCACCATAGAGCCTTCTGGTGTGTCTGGGCCACTGCCAAGAAATAAGAAGCTGACAAAATCAAGGGGGATCTGACCTATTTTCTCCTGAACCAAGTGAGCTCTGAGGTAATCAGAAAGATAACTCTTGTGGGGCACCTGAGTGGCTCAGTCGGTTAAGTGTTCGACTCTTGATTTTGGTTCAGGTCATGATCTGGCAGTTTGTGAGTTCAAGCCCCATGTTGGGCTCTGCACTGACAGTGTGGAGTGTGCTTGGGATCTGCTCTCTCTGCTTCCTGCCCCTCCCCTGCTCATGTACACATGCTCTTTCTCTCTTTTTCTCTAAATAAACATTTTTTTAAAAGAAGGTAACTCTTGCTGCAAAAATCTGCATTTATCAAGGCTCATAGTTTGCAGGAGGGCTATATTAGCTCACTTGTAAGGAATGTGAGTGAATTCTAGTGGGGTGTGGTGTTGTATAGACCAGCTGTGCTTGTCCATTCAGATGAGCGACGGGACACCCCAGAGCCTGCCCTTTGGCACTAACCCACCTAGGACAGCTGGATGACCCCTGAATAAGCTGCCCCTTAGGTCCAAAAGGAAATTGTTCAGGAGGAGGAAGCAGCCATGTGCTGAGCATCGACTCTGGGTTAGGCACCAGGCTATGAGCTTTTTTGCAGGGTATTCCCCTTAGAATCCCTAACACTTGAACACTGTTGCCCCCATTTTGCAGATAGGAAGCTCAGGCTTAAAGAGATGAAGCAACTTGCTCCAAGTCACACGGCTGTTAGTAGCGGAGCCCAGGTGCGAACCCAGGTGTGCCTGGCTCCCCGTGACGCCCTCCTCCCGCTGCACCGTACCTCTTCCATGGGGCTATCCATAACCTGCTGCTGAAAGCGCATTTGTACTCCGACCATGAAGGGAGTGGGGCAGCAGACAGTGTCCAAAAGTCTCTCGGGGACAACGGGGATGTAGGTGTGCGCCCAGCTGAAGGGGTAGAGCAGCGCGGCGGCAGCGTGGATGCACTGAGACAGGGTGCTGGGGACAGGGCACAGAGAACACGAGTCAGAGGGGCCTCCCTGCATATCCACTGCTACGCACCCCTCCCCAAGGCCCCCACTGACAGCAGGAGCAAGTCTAGGAGCTGTGCTGGTGGCAGAGCTTGTGACTACTGATAGCTGGGGGTGGGGAGGGAGGAGGAACGGAAAGGCAGTGGCAGGAGTGGCAGAGGCTCCTCTCATCAAGGATGGGGCCTCTATCTGACCCTTTTCCCATCCAGTTGGTCTCTCCCCCACACCCTGCACAAAAACACTAGTGGCTCCAAAGAGGAGGGAAGAGGAAATGCCTTCACTCCAGCAGATTACGGAGTGAGCCCTTCTATACACTCACCACTGTGCTAAGGATGTGGACACCAGGAAGTACAAGGCACTGACCCCGCTGAACAAACTCACAGTGTAGTTAAGGAGACAAACGTAAACAGTGAGGCACGGCAGAGAGGCGAAGCCTTATTTCCTCCTTGTGGCTATCCACCCTCACCCACACATAGTCTTTACCTCTCATGGCTCCTTCTGGCCACTGGAGGTTATTTAAAGTTAACAGGTTGGAGTCAGAGCAGGCTTGGGAAATTCCTAGATTCCAGGAAACTTTGCCTGGCAAATCCTACCCGGAAAGTCCTACGGAGGTGGCCCCTCCACCCTTCCAATGAAGCATTCCTCCCTATGGCTGCTGCCTCAGTCACAGCTCAGACAGACTCCCCACCCCACCACCCAACACACACATGGCCTCTCTCTCTGTCCTCTCCTCTCCACGGCTTCTCCCTGGCTCTTCTTTTCTCCAAACAACTCCAAAACCAAGGCCAATCAAAACACAGATACAGGAACCGTGTTTCAGTTCTTAGTATAGAGCTTGTACTTCCTGAGTCACAGAGAGTGAGTGCCTGAGGCTCTAGCCAGGCTTAGGATGACTGGAAGTCTCCTCCCTGCCTGTGCTTCAGGGGTCTGACAAGTTGGGGCAGGGGGAACCTCCCTGGAGAAAGTGAGCACCTGAGAGGCAAGTCCTGCCTGCCTTGGCCCATGGCCAGACAGCGGGCACCTGGAGTCACCTTCACTTCCTAAATACTGATCTCAGTGGGAAAGGCAGGAAGCCCAGCTCCAGCCACAACCGAAACTTCTCATTTTTCTACAGGGTTGAAAGTGGGAATGCTATTTCCAGAGCAAAAGATGACACCACTTTCCCCAAGGATTCAGCCTACAACTAGTGCCTTTTTGGTTATCACTGACTTTTATAGAATGTTCAACCCAGAGACCTCACTGCCCGCCCGCGCTTCCTCTCCTCTAACACCCATTATGTTCACCGGACCCTCTGGCCTAACATTTGGGTCCCTAACATCCTTTTCTTCTTCTTCCCTAAAAGCCAGAACCAGGGTGTCAGCCCAGTGTCATTGGCTTTCTCCCTCCCCAGACATGAATAGGTCAGCCTCCTACTGTTCAATGATATTTTCCTCCTCTTCCATCACACATCTCCCCATGTCCTTCTCAGACTTGAGGCCCCTAAGAGGCAGAGACTAAGACACGACAGCACCCTTCTTTGACTATGCACAGGGATATATTCAACTGTGAACTTATTATTAAGGATAACAGCTAGCTTTTGCACTGCAAAGGAAACCATCAACAAAATGAAAAGGGAACCTACTGAATGGGAGGTTTGTGGATGACATATCCAATAAAAGGTTACTATCTAAAATATATAATGAATTCATACAACTCAGCACCAAAAATCATCATCATCATCATCATCCTGAATAAAAAATGGGAAGAGGACCTGAATAGACATTTTTCTAAAGAAGACATACAGACGGCCCACAGACACACGAGAAGATTCTAAGCACCACTAATTAATTGTCAGGGAAATGCAAATTAAAACCACAATGAGATATAGCCTCACACTAGTCAGAATGGCTTGCATCAAGAACACAAGAAATAGCAAGTGTTGGCGAGGATGTAGAGAAAAGAGAACCCTTCCTCCACTGTTGGTGGGAATGTAAATTGACGCAGCTACTGTGGAACACAGTATGAAGGTCCTTCCAAAAGTTAAAAACCAAAATACCATACAACCCAATAATTCTGCTGGGTGTCTTTCGAAAGAAAACAAAAACACTCATTTGAAAAGCTATATGCACCCTATGTTTATTGCAGCTCTATTTTACAAAAGCCAAGATCTGAAAACAACCTAAGTGTCTGTCGATTGGTGAATGGATAAAGAAGATTTGATAAATATACATACACAAAGGAATATTACTCAGCCAGATGAAAACAATGAAATCTTTCAATTTCATCCCAACATGGATGGACCTAGACCTCGTATTATGCTAAGTAAAGTAAGTCAGAGAGAGAAAGACAAATGCTGCATGATTTCGCTTCTATGTGAATCGAAAAAACAAAATAAAAGAAACAGAAGCAGACACAGACTCACAGATACAGGGAACAAACTGGTAGTTGCCAGAGCAGAGGTGGGAGGGAGGATGGGCAAACTAAGTGAAGGGGCTTAAGAGGTACAAACTTCTAGTTTTAAAAATAAGTAAGTCACTGAGATGAAAAGTACAGCATAAGGAATAGATGTAATAATGCTGCAGGGTGACTGACAGTTTACCTATCTTGGTGACCACAGCTATCTTGGTAGGCACTGAGTAATGCATAGAATTGTTGAATCAATATGTTGTACACCTGAAATTAATATAGCACTGTATGTAAACTACACTTAATAAAAATAATAATTAAAGAATAAAAATAAGTAAAGCAAGTAAATAAAATAAAATAAAAAGACAAAACAACAACAACAATAACCACCCAGATAGCTCTTATGGATACGTGTCTGCCCATCAGGGTGGTAGGTCCCTAATGTGCACTGTTTCATTTAATCCTCAACACAAGCTTACGAGGTAGGTATAATCCTTATTGTGATTTTACAGATGAGGAGACTATGGCTTCAAGAAGTCAAGAAACTACCCTAAGGGAAAGCACACAGCTACAGGTAGAAGAATGTATTAGACTTGAACCTTGACCTGCTGATTTCAACACATGTGCATTCAACCACTACAGAGCCCTACATCCCCTAGGGTCAAAGACCATGTCTCGTTTGTCTATATCTTCCTGACATCAGGCATCTGGCGGACAGCTGACATACAATATGTGTTTGTTGAATGAGTGAACAAATGGATAGATGAGATGTGTTTGGCATGAAGGATAATGGGTTTGGGGCACCTGGGTGGCTCAGTTGGTTGAGTGTCGACTCTTGATTTTGGCTCTGGTCATTATCTCACAGTTCATGGGATTGAGCGCCATGTCGGGCTAAGCACTGACAGCATGGAGCCTGCTTGGGATTCTCTCTCTCCCTCTCTCTGCCCCTCCCCTGATTGCATGCTCTCTCTCTCTCTCTCAAATAAACAAATAAACTTAAAAAAAAAAAAAAGATGATGGGCTTTTGACCTCCATACCAATGTACCCCTTCTTCCCCTGTCCTGGGCCCTCCCTCCCTCCCTAAGCCATCAGGAGCAGAATCACATCTCTACCCACCCTGACTGGTCTCTGCCTGGGCAGTCCCAAGAACACTTCACGCCTGGCTCAGAATTAAATCTGGATCTTTCTTCAGGCTTAGGCAGCAATCAAGTTTGGAGGCAGAAGCAAGGGAATTGCCACAGCTGTTTCTCTGCAAGGCTTAGTGCAAAATCAGACCTGGAGGCAGGAGGGTGGGCGTGATGGTCCTACAGCCTGATTCCCTTAGAGAACCCTCCGGTCTGTCCCCTGAGCCCAGGGAAGCCAGCCGGCCCGGGGAAGTGGCCCAGCGGCTGGACCCACCTGAGATCTTCCGCCAGGAAGATGATTCTTCTCTCCAGCACTGCAGAGGCAAAGATCTGAAGGATCTGCTCAAAACGGAGACAGTGCACCAGAGAACGAAAATCCACATGTTCTAGATGGGAGTCCAGGGGCCGTGTCAGAGAGATGAACTGCAGGGGAGCCAAGGAGAGAGGCATCACCGCATTGAAAACTTGCAGACCCCCGAACGCTGGGTCTTCACCAGCCTCACCACCATTCTCCTGGCTGGAACACTTCTGATCCTGCCTCTCCCCTTATGGAAGCCCTTCCGTAGTTTCCCTTAGCTCTGAGGGGCCCATCCCTGGCCTGGCCCATGGGTCCCTCCAGCGCCCTCTTCCTGCCTGAGGGTCCTCACAGGTCAGGTCACCTTTTTCCTGGTCTCCTCCTCCCTCCGGCTCAGAGGCCCACCTAATTCGATGTGTGTTTCCATCATTTTCTCATGTAGCATCCAGTTTCTCCCCTTTCATCACTTTAAATTATATACTTATTTGCATCTTTACTTATTTAGCGTCAGTCTCCTCCACTAGACATTAAGCTCCAGGAGGTCAGGAATGACATTCATTGTATTCACCACATCATACCAAGAAAATTGCATGGCCTGGCATAAGGCGAGCATTCCATGCTCATTTTTGGAGACCGTGAAAAGGCCTAGCCCCTCCCCCCATTTTTACACAGGGAGGCCAAGGTTCAGAGAGGCACGTGACCTTCCATAGTCCAGTGGGAAGGACTGAAAGAGGCAGCTTAATGCCTGCAGCAATAGCATCCTCATGTGGCATGGGTGGGGACACAGGGGTGGGGATGGATGATAAGAAGTAGACAGATGGAGGCCCTAAGGGAGAGACACTGGACACACACACAGGAAGATAAGGGTGGTGATGGGGAAAAGTGGCCGTTTGGGGCTGGGGGCACAGTCCATTCTAGCACCAGGCACCTCAGCTTACATGTTTTATTTATTATGAATACACGTCTTGGTGGCTCGGACAGTAGGTCCCTGTGAGCATCAGGTTGGGAGGATCAGAAAATACAGGTTTGATTTTCAGCTCTGTCAGTACTTCTAGCTGGGGCCCCGGGGCCCTGCCTGGCTCCGTCTATACGTGTTAACCTGGGGTGCAGGATGGTAGGACTGTGCGAGCTGTAGCACTGAAGCCAGGGCTCACGACCTCCGTAACCCACCTCAGTGCCCGAGTCGGGGATGAAGCTCTTGAGGGTGACAGTCTTCCCAGGGGCAGGGAAGGCCGCCTCTCGGAGGCCCTGCATGAACGGGTAAATGACGGCCATGGAGATCTGGTGCCTCTTCTCCACCTCATCCAGGATCTGCGGGATCCAGGAACTGGCTCAAAGGGATGCCACTGGGGAGTGGCAGAGACCCCAGCGCGCGCGTCTTCCCGCCCCTCACTGGTCCAGCCAACCCTCGTGGACCTGCCAGGCTCCCTGCTCTTCCCTGGCAGAGCCCAGTCTGCTGTTTCTCTCCTGCACGAGGCCTCCACGAACCTTCCTCCTTTCACCCCCTCCTTACCTGTCCACTCCCCCCTTTCCCTGGCACCCGCCTAACTGCCTTCCCCAGAGCCAACCACCACACACCGTGGCACCACATCCAGTCAGTCTGGGATGCTGGGTGCAGTGGGCGCCTAGAAGCCCGGGCCTGGGTGTCACTGTGCCCTCCGACTTCCACTGGAGACACCCCCAGGGCCAGGGCCAGACTCCATCCCTGAGGACCCAGCAGGGGGGACCATTCCACCGAGCAAAGGCTCCCAGCGTCCTGCCCTCACCCTCTGAAGGGCCTGCCAGGGACAGAGCACACTGAAGCTCTTTCATGGCCACCAAGACACGGCCCCGTCCGTTCTGAGGCCTGACTCGGGGGCACGGGCCGTGCACTTAGCTCCAGCAGAAATCCTAGAGCCCTCCCCCCTCAGAGGGCTCATGGGGAGAACAACCGCCTTCATATTTGTTCAGTGTTCTGCTGAACATGTCACTTCATTCGAGCCTCACACCAGGCCCTGAGCCAGGGAGGCGAGGGATCGCTGCAGGCACTTGACAGACAAGGAAACGGAAACTCCCGCCTCCTAACCTGGGGCTCTGCCTGCTGTCCTGCTCCAGCTGCTTTCTAACCCGACCAGAGGGGGAAGCGTGGGCTCTCTGCAGGGGAGAAAGTCTCCGTTTTCTGGAGCCCAAGTTCCTCTCTGCCTCAGTTTCCCCAAGTGTGCCTAGGTTCGACCCCAGCTGTGAGGAAAGAGCTCCACTGAGGGCCCAGGGAGCACAGGCGGGTCAGGCGGCCAGGCCGACCTGGAGGCTCAACAGGCCAAACGGGCCCCAAGGAATCCCGCTCCGCCTGTACCTTGGAGAATAGGCCGAAGCAGCCGATGCAGCTGATGATGCAGTAAACCTTGGGAAGGCGAGGGCCACGGCCGGCAGGCTGGGGGGGACAGACAGGCTCCTTCAGTGCCACAGCCTCCCCAGGGCTCCTCCCAACTGGGGCTGCCAGGGCACACGGCTGGTGGCTGGGGCTGGGGGACTCCTGGGGAAAGGTGGGCCAGGTGGAGGAGGGCCTGGCTGTGCAGCGGTCCCGTGTATGGCACAGGCAGCAGGAATAGCCACCAAAGTCAATAGAAGATGACTTTAAGGGGGCCACGCTCTGCCACCATCAGCACCAGCACCCTGTGGGGTCCGCAGAGAATGGGAGCAAGTGTGCTGTAGAGATGAGGGAGTGGCCAGAAAGGACAGCACCGTACAAGTGACTTGGGAGAGTCCTCCTGAGACCTCCAGTCTATGCTCTGGGAGGCTCCGGGGGTGGGGGTGGGGGGCGAGGCAGCTAGGCCTGGGTACGGAGAGTGGAGAGGGCATCCATCGGGCAGGAGCCTCTGACACGGGGAGCTTTCGAAAGCTTGGGGAGAGCAGAGATCAAAGCATGGCCAGCATAGGTCCCCTGGGTGGACAAGGAGGGGCAAGTGTCCCCATTCCTGCAGGGTTGCAGAGGGCACTAACATGGCAGTAGGTGCTGGGCCGTGCGCTCCCTGCAACCACCACTGCCAGGGAGCCTTGGCTTTTGCAGCTGAAGCTCCAGCAAGCCCAGCTGTGGAGCCGAGCGGGCTGCAGAGAGTAGGGGGCAGTTCTGAGCAGCACAGACCAAGAGGCGCCTGCAGTATCCAATCTTCCTGCTCCCATCCACGTTGGTCAGGACGAAGGAAAAGGTCTCCCTGAAGAAGAGCACACACATGGTTTGCATTTGCTCACCAGACCCTAGAACAGGAAGGCGGCAGCCTCGGAGGGATGCTGAGGGGCGTCAGGAGGGCAGAGGGGAGCTGCTGATTAATCTGGAGAGTAATAGTAACACCAGTCGTTTATTGCATGCTTGCTGGCATCCAGCTCTAAAAGCACTACCTCATTTAATTCTCAAAACAGCCCTTTGAGGTAGGTTCAATTAGGATCGCCACTTTAAAGACAAAGGAACTGAGGCCCCAAAGGTGGTTCTCATCCAAGGTCATTCAACTCAAAAGGGGTAAAGCCAAAATCTGAACTCAGACAGCCAAATTCCAGGGCTGATGCTGAAAGGGACTTTGCCACATTGCCTTCGTCGAAGCCAAAGGCCTTCTGCTAAGTCCAGCTTCTTCCAGAAGCAGTCAAAACATGGCAACTGTCATTCCCAGGGCAGGTGAGAGAACCTCGCCCTTCTCTGGACAGAGGTGACTGGCTGGTTAACCAAGTTGGCTAAGATCCCTGGCCTTGGGGGACTCCAGGCAAGATGTTTATAAGTGGATCAACTCCAGCCCCTCCCATCAGGAAAGAAGCTGGTAAGGACTGGCATCCACATGGAGTGAGGGAGCCACAGGACCCACACGGCTCACACTTGTCCCTTCTCCCCCAGTCCCAGATTCCTCTGTCCCAGGCCCGAGCCATTACCTGGGGTACTCAGTGAGTGGTGCCCACTCATTCCCATCTGGGAAGCAGAACAAGGGGATGGCTCCGAGCAGCCGCTCCTCCTCCTCCTGCTGGCCCCGAAGAAGGTTCTCTCGCTATAGGCAACAGGGAAAGAGCCCAGTGAATTGCGGAGGCAGGGACAGGAGGAGAGGGCTTGAGGGCTGGTGGGCTTCTCTTGAGGCTCTAAAGCAGTTTGAGAATAAGCTCTCCTGCTGGCCTGGGAGCTCAAAGCGTGCCTCTGCCTGTCCCTCTGCAAGGGGACTTCATTCTAGGTCCGGCCAATCCCAAGGCTGAGTCTACACGAGCCTGAGTTAGACATCAGTATCCTAAGGATCCACATAGGCAGGGCCTCACTTAGTATAGAAGGGCCCAGAGTCTGCCTGGCCTCCCGGAGGGGCCATGTGAGAGAGCCACCACATTAGAGAGGAGAGGTGGCCAGCTCAGTCGCTGGACCAGCAGGGTTAATGAGGGTGCCCTTCCCCCGCCCCTTCCCCCAGTGAGGGAGCAGACAAGAAGGAGCCTGGTGTTTGGGCTGTGGCCACAGGTTGAGCCTGCCCACCAGCTGTGTGCCCGCCCCACCCTCTCCTCCCCACCCGCCCCAGGGAGGGGGTGCCTGCGAGGAGGTCTGGCAGAAGGTAAGCCTCTCTACAGAGTAGTGTGACTAAGGGTGGAATTTGGAAGAACCAGGAGGCCCCAAAAGGGGCAGAAGAACCAGCCTCATTTCCTGGCTAGGGAGCCCAGGTCAGTTCCTCACAAAGAAGCCAGACCTAGATTCCGTGGGTGATAACAGGAAACAGGGTTGGGCCTGAAGGAAACGGGAGCACGGAGCGCAGGGCGGCTCTAGACTCAAGCCCTGGCAGCCCCCACCCCCCCGCCCGCCCCTCTCAAACACCCAAATCCGGTCTCCCCCGCCCCCTCCTTCGCTCCTTACCTTCGGAAACTGGTAGGTGATGGTAGGCTCATAGTCATCCCCTGAACTCTTTTTTTTGAGAGAAACCACGAGGAGGTATTCAAAGAAGTGCTGCCCTCCAGGAAAGGTGGACAGACAGCGCTCCTGGGCCCTTTCTGGTTCCTTTACCGCTTCCCCCAGGTTGTCCTGGGGAGGTCCTGAAAGCAAGACACCAGGCCCCACTTGGTATCTCCATGGCCCACGCCCCAGGTGGAGTCCGTCTGGCTCTGGCAACTTCTTCACCTCAGGGCCGCCAGGCCAACGCTAAGGTCCCCAGAGCCTTCCCCTCTCCTCAGGGCCTGGAACAGGGTCAGAGCCAACTGGGCTGTTTCCGTGCCTGCCCTGGGAGACTTGAAAACCCAGGGAGCCAAGAGGGGGACAGAGGCTGTTGATTTGGAAGCCAAGGAAAGGTACTGGGGAGCCACTTGGGAGGTCCTATGCCCTGGAGGCAGAGACTGTGCCCACCCATGGGTGCCCAGGGCAGTACCTGAAACAGTAAGCCCTGAGTGAGTGGACATGAACTCTAATCAGAACAGGTCCCAGAGCCATGTGTCTGACCATACAACTCCCCCTCACCCCCCTACTCCCACCACCACAAGGGGCATGACCAGCCCTAAAACCCAGTAGGGGAAGTATTCTGGTCTAGTCACATGGGGGCCCAGGTAGAGGTCAAACGATAAAGACTCTACATGTAAGAAAAGGAAGAAGCATTTCAAGAAAGAAACAGCCCCATCAACGAGGGTCACCCTAGAAAACAGGAAGTGGGCAATCCAGTCCAGACCTGCTCGGAGTCGGGGCAGCCGGTTGCGGAACAGCCTGAGCATCCCGCCTCCCACTTGTCCTTCCATCTTCTGGAACCTGCAGGGCATTGGAGTGCCTCCCTTTCCTCCTACAGACCGGCTACAAAGAGTCTGAGAGAGGGGCTGCCGCTTTGGTCTCCAACCACAACTCCATGAAGCCAGGCCATGTGCTGCCTTCCCAAGGGGGGACGGCAGTTTCCATGCCGAGCGCCCAATGGCTGAGCAGGAAGGATGTGACGGGACCCAGGAAGGAGCAGAACGCCTGCACTGATAGAGGCAGCATCCTGGCACTGCAGCTCAGACCTCAGCTCCTCCCAAGAGCCCCAGGGTGTGGTGAGAGAAAAGGTCATGAGCAAACACCTCCAAGGCCCAGCTGCTTTCTGGGCTAAGGGCTTTGAATTCTGGGCTGCGGATTGTGCAACGGGTTTATTTACAACTTTGGGACAGTGAAGAATGCCTAACAGCATCAGACTGTGGGCACTGGAACCTCACCAGCCCGGGGACAGGGATCATACATCCCCATAACCTTGACTCCTGACCTTTCACATCTCAACTTGGTCCACTACCGCACTCGGGATCTTCCAGGACTTCGGGACTGCAAGCAAGAGCACAGGACCAAACGTTCCCCACGGCCAGCATACCACTGCCTCCCTTGATTAAGATAAATAGACTCGGCCCATTAATCCTCTAAATGGAAAAAAACGTTCTAGCATGAGAGAGTTCTGGAAATCGATATGAGCCTAAAAGCCTCTTCTCCTGGAGGTAGAATAGAGAGCAAATCCCTTTCTGGAGAGTTCCTGATACTTCAGGATGATCTACAGTGGTGGGTCTCTCACCCACCCCCCTGCAATATATCTGAAGTCTGACTTCTCTCATGGGAAACGTTCCAGGGCTCCAGCAAAGGATCCCTCTTCCCAAGTAGGAAGCACTGACTCAGGACATTCTTCTGGGCCTATAGTAGGGGACCAGTTGCCTCAGCAGCCTGAGGGTCATTCAGTGACAGTGGAAAGCAACTGGGTGATCTCTGCCCTACCCCCACTCCTGCTCAGTCTTTTTTCCCCCGGTTGAGCCAGGTCAATAGTTCTGCCCAAGCTAAAAGCAGAGCAGGTGGGCCCTTGGGGTCTCGTGGTGTCTATAGGTTGTGTCGGGAGGCTGGGAAGAGAGAAAAATAACAATAAACCACCTACGAGTGAGTAAATGCCTAGGGTCAGAGAGAAAGACTTTTGTCAGAAAGCTGACTCTAAAAGGAGCCAGAAAGCAAAAGTCTGCCACTCCAGCAAAGAATTAGCAGCCCTCTGGAAGAAAGTGGGTTGCCTGAATGGGGGACATAGCTGCCTTGTTCTTAAGAGCACCAGATCAGCTCTTAAGGGACTGGTAAAAAGCCGTATTCAGGGGCACAGACATGACTTGTGGGAAGAACCCCAATCACAGTAAGTAAGGATGTGACAGATGCTGTCATGGTGAGAACAATGACCCAGAATGCTCAGAATCTTCACCACGCCTTACTCACAACCTGCAAAGACTTGTTGCACAGCCCTCACTGCCTGAGGAACAGGCATCTTCCTCATACAGATGGGGAAACTGAGGCACAGAACAAGTCAGGGGCTATTCAGGGACTATTAACAGACTGCGGGGGGGAGGGTAGGAATTATGAGAGCTCCATGTCAATGCTCCTGCCTTTTGGATACAGTACACACCAGATATCCCACAACTCTGGGCTGCCTCCTGTTTGCAAAGGTCTTTGAGAGCCCAAATCTTTTCACGGACCATTCCAGAACCTCAGGAAATTATGCCTTTCCCTGAACCCTTTGGGTTGCACTTTCAGCCCATTTCCTCCTGCTTTATCAGCAGAGCCAGGAGAACAGCAAAACTCACGAAATCAAACAAAAGAAATGACCAGTTTTGGGCTGAAGCCCAGGAACTCCAGAAAAGGATTGCTTTCTACTCCCTTTCAAAGAGGTTTATCAACAGAAGAGAAAAAGCCGAACAGAAAACATCTACCCTATTAATATAGGTCATCTCATTTAATCCCTGGTGCCCTGGAATGCAATCATGATCCTGAGTTTTCTGGTTGAGGAGGGAGCCACCCTTTCTAGGGAAGTCAGGAGTCTGGTTACACTTGTTCCTCCACCAGGAAGCCCCTCCCACAGCCACCTGACTGAAGTCACAGAACCAGCTAGACTATAGGTACGGGAACTTTTCAAAACTTTGATTTAGAAAGTTGGCTCTTCCTTTTCTAGCTGAGCTGCTCTTCACTCAGGATCCACCACCACTGCCACTTCTTCCCACTGGGATGATTTACACATTCAGGTACATGCGCGTGCACGCGTGCACACGTGCACACACACACACACACACACCCCTTACCACACAATTGCCCTGAGGCCAAAAAGGAAAAGAAGATGGAACTCCCCAGAAAGGTGGAGGATGATATGGAAGATGAAAAGAGCACACTGTCCTGGCCTGACAGGTGGCCAACCTCAGGACAGATAGTACTGGCTGCTCACCTTACTCCCACGCACCATGATCAGCCCAGTTTTGGGGGCTGGGGTGGGGTGGGAACAATTGGAATGCCTCCTCTGGGCTGCAAAAAGCAGAACTCTTATATTCACCCAGACTTCTGAGGGTTGAGGGAGGCCAGGAAAGCCCAGGCCAGTACTCTCCAGGGAAATGACACCAGCCAGCTCAGAACGGCTGGACTCTGTTCCAACCACTGCAGTCCCGAGCCCTGCCCCCATTTCGGTCTCTGAAGTAGGCTGGGAGTGGGGGGTGGGGGGGTGGGGGCGGCAGAAGTGACGGCAAGGAGAGCCCTGGTCTCACCCCCAGATCTCCCCAGGTAGGGGGCTTGGCATAGGAAGAGGACTTATTGACTGCCAATGTTAGGAGGCTGTCTGGGAATGACCCGATTTGCCTTCCAACCGGCTCCTTTCTGCTCAGAAGGTGGGTCTCTGGGCAAAGTATCTCAAGGATACTTTAGGCCTGGCTACTGACAAGCCGAAATAAATGTTCGTTGAATGAATGAAAACATGAATGAATTCCCAACTGTGTCCTTGCAAAGCCCAGTGCCCCCGCTAGGAAGAAAGGAAGTGTCTTCTAATGGAGTCCCCACAACCCTGGGCGGGAGGACTTATTTCCCCCTCACCTGGGGGTGGGGGTGTCAGGGGCCCCGGGAGGCGTGCCTGGTCTGTTTCGCTTGCTCTAAGCCCGAGGCAGAACAGGCACTCTCCCAGGCCTGCCGGGGGCCACACTCTCCCGGCCCCGGTCGCCCGCAGGTGGAGGTGGTCACGTCGGGGGAGCAGTGTTTCAGCTGAGCCCAGCGGGCGGGGCGGGGCTGGGGTTCCGGGAGGGCGCCTCAAGCACACTGCGGTTGCACCACAAGCTTCCTGGCTGGGAGGACACGTGGCCCCAGGGCCCCACAACGGCTTCCTTCGGCCCGCCGCCTCTCCCTCGCCCCCGCTGGCCCGGCGGCTCCTGTGATCTCCGACCCCGGCGCCACATGGTCCTGACCCCTCCACCTGCGCCCCCTCGCCGGTTCACCTGACGCCCGGCCTGCGCTCCTAGTGGCCCTCAGTCGGCCTCCCTCCCGGAGCCGCCCCCCACCCCGCTACCCCGGCCCCCGCCCCGCCACAGCCTGGAGGCCCGGCCCCCGGCCCCCATACCCCGCGCCCCCAGCCCCGGCCCGGCACTAACCCCCGCGGCCGCGCTTCAGTCTCAGGCTGGCTCGGAGGCGGCGGCCGAGCCCATCCATGGCCCGGCGAGTGCCCGGCACCCGGCCCGGGTCCGCGCCGGCCCCGCCCCCGGAGCTCGCCCTCCGCGGGCCCGGCACTTTCGCTTTCACGCGGGGGGAGGCCAAGGGCACCGGCGCGGGACGGGGCGGCGCACCTTCCGGACGGCGTGCCAAATCCCGGCGCACCTGGGCGGGCCGCCTCTGCCCTCGGCCCCCCGGCGGGGCGGCGTGGGGTGACAGAGGGCGCTCGACGCGCGTCCGGGAGGGGGCGGCGCCACCGGGCTCCCACCCTCCGTGGGGCGCCCCGGGAGGCTCGGCTTGCCTGAACCCGCCGTACCCAAACGCGCGGGTGCAACGCGGTCACGCCCTACCTTCGCGGCACTGGCTTGGAGTGCCCTCTGGGCCCCGGGGCCCTTTCCAGGTGGCTCCGGACTTATCTCAAGAGTAGTCACACCTTCCACCCTTCCACCCTTCCAGCGCTCCCCACCCTGCAGCTGCTGTAGCCTCTGGCCATTTCCTTCTGTGCCTTATGCCTTCTGTGTCCTTGCACCCACAGGGCACGTGTCCTTCTCTCTTTTCCCGATTTCACTTCCCTAAGAACCAGCGAGCCAACGACAGCCTTCTGGGCTCC